TTAAAAGCACTTGCCTTGCATGTGTGAGGCACTGGGTTCAATCCTCAGCACAACATGAACACAAATAAATAAAGATATTATGTCCATCTACAACTAAAAAAAATATTTTAAAAAAATCAAATCTTCAGAATTACCCGTGCATCTCACCCATGTTACACAGACAGAATGGAAAGAAATGAAGACTCCACAAGTTATCACACGAAACTGTCTTTTACTAATAAAACCAAAGAACCTCAAATACTTTTTGTGGACTTTAGCTTTTTTCCTTCAGATTTTGAAATGGTATTGTGCACGTACATATTTTTAAATTTAGGTACATTTGGAGAACACAGTTGTGGACACAAAGAAATACAAAAAATGAATGAGATGTTCTGAAATCTGATTTCAAACACTTGTAATTATTAAACTGATGTCTGTGAATCCTGTCCTGTGAAGTATGTGCCATTTCTCTCTGCTTTTCATGATGGTGAGATCACACAGCAGCCCATGTAACAGACATGAGAAGTACGTTAACATAGAATCAAAGAACTGTACATCTGTTAATATCTAGTGGAAGGTGTCAACCCAGCTGGCTTAGAAAAATCTTTAAATAATATTTCCATTTATCCCATGAATACTTTCTTTCCCTTAGTGCGTTAATTAGAAAGACTAGTAAGTATTTTTTGAACATGCGCATACGTGAACACATCCAGCATCCTGATAATTAAGAGTCACCCTTGCTGCTGCTGGACTAGAGATCCCTGGTCAGAATCAGAGATTCTACTGGCTGACTCCTCCTTGCAAAAAGCTGTACTAGAGAGCCCCAGGGAATTCCTGGAAGCCCCAATTGTTTGCCTTGAGAAACAAGACAGGCAGGGCCTCATTGGTAAGCTGGGTTGTATATTATTCTTCTATGAAGTGGATAGGGAAGATGGGAACCTTGTTGTTTGGAAGAGATTGAATATTATGTGGGGCCTTCTACAAAACAGTTCCCGTTGGCTTGTTCATGATGGCATATCCTGCCTTTAGGTAATGACTTCCTGGAGAGACCCAGTTTAAGCATAATTATGAAGACTTATGCCCATGCAAGTCATCACCCTAACATGAACAAAAATAATAATGACTTAGAAGCAAGAGCGTCTTCAATGAAGACAGTCACTAGGCATCATTTAGAAACTGAAGGTCACATGTTTAGGGCACCAGACTCTCAAATAAGGCTCAGCAATGCCCTAAAAACTGCATAAGCATGAAGGAGACTTATCTTCTAAATTGATATTATTATTTATCCTTTATAAAAGGAGTGGAAACTTGGGCTAATATTTAGACAGTCCCCTGTAGACAAGGACTAGACCATTCCAGAGTCCTATCTTGTCTTTTGTGACAATGTCTTACCTTGCCTAATGAGAATTACTTAGAAAATCCTAGACCTCTTGTACCATGATGAAAAACACCCTTCTAAAAATGGAAATCTACATAATAGAATTACTAATGATATACTAATCCAAATTAATGCCCCCTTTTTAAAAAAATATAGTCATCTGGATAATACCATAATTTTCTTGTCTAGAACCTTATGTTGTTCCCCATATGCATAAATGCAGACTAGTACTTTTAACTACCCAAAAGTGTACAAAAAGGAATATATTCATCCCAAATTTACACTTTTGATCACTTGAACTAAATTTTTGAAATAAGTTTGGTTGCAGGGACATTGGTCCAACTGAGGATCTTCCTGTTTATCACCCATCTGGAATTGTATCCACATAACCAATAAGTTATCATATTGATAAAACTGAACTGGGGTCTGTTGTTTGTTTTTATTTTTGTGATACTGAGGATTGAACCCAAGGCCTTGCACATGCTAGGCAAATGCTCTACTATGAGCAACATCCCTAGCCCAAGGTGGGGTCTATTTTAATAATATACATCTGGGTGCATGTTCTAGAATTGCCAACTCTCAGTTATTACTACTTACAATGTGGTCATTAAGTTTACTCTTGGTATTATGAAATACATTCCTCAGGGCACTAGCTGCTTGAATTGCAAAGAGCTTTTGAACTTTAGGCAAAATTCCTGAAATCTCTGCCTTGCTAGACTGGCAGCTCTAATGCACTTCCTGGGGTTTCTTAGAAACACTAAAGTGAGCACAAAACACAAAGAATAAACAGTAGTCAACTGTATACTCCCCCCCCCCCCAAAAAAAAAAAAAAGTTCCCAACAAATGCCCTCTTGTCTGCTGTTTCTGTTTAGGTTTTGGAGTGGTCTTTCTCTCATAGTCTTCTGAAAATACCCAGGGAAAATGCTGACAGTCAGTGGGATATCACTCTAGATTATCTTTCTTTTTTCTTTTTTTTTGGTACCGGGGATTGAACTCAGGGCCCTCGACCACTGAGTCACATCCCCAGCCCTATTTTGTGTTTGATTTAGAGACAGGGTCTCACTGAGTTGCTTAGGGCCTCACTTTTGCTAAGGCTGGCTTTGAACTCATGATCCTCCTGCCTCAGCCTCCCTAGCCACTGAGATTACAGGCATGTACCACCATACCTGGTTATATTATCTTTCTGATACATAAGAAAGACATCACCTGACTGCTCCCCTATCTGTCAACAGAGATGACACTCCACTTTTTATGTTATATACAGAAAGGTATGGCTGCCCCCATACACTCATGCACGCTCATCTCTGAGCTCATGTGGAGAGAAGGGCTTTCCATTTAGAACAATTTACACCTACAGACAACAAACACCAAGAAACATGCAAACACCACAGGGAACCTGAAGGTGAAGACTTCATATTTTACACAATGAGGGGACACTGTTACAAAATGTTGATGGGATGGTTTCTGTTACTCATGCTCTAACTTGAGGGTCTTTGCAACAGAAGGGTGCCTGTGAAGNCATATTACTTCTTTTGGCAACTGAATATAGCAGATTCTCTTGTCTTGACTTTTTATTGGAGTACTGGAGAATAAACCCAGGAGTGCTAAACCACCGAGCTACATCCCTAGCCCCCCTTTTTAAATTATTTTTTAAGACAGAGATCTCACTATTAAGTTGCTGAGGCTGGTTTTGAACTTGTGACCCTCCTGCCTTAGCCTCTAGTTGCTGGGGTTATAGGCATGTGTCACCATGCCCAGCAATTGTCTTGATTTTATAGAAACAAAACCAAGCCTTAGGAAATGGCTTAGGTTCACACTAAGTAAGTGGTCGAGCTCAGAGGTCAACACAAGCATCAAAAGCCCCCACTTTTTACCTACACTTCACTAGCCTAGCAGTAAAATAGTGTTTTAATCAGTTTTTTCATCTCTGAAAGACTTTAAAAGAACAATTAGAAGAGGAAAAGTTTATTTGTCTCAATTACAGAGATTTCAGTCCATAGAAGGCAAATTACTTTGCTCTGAGCCATGGTGAGGCAGAAAATCATGGTAAAAGAGTGTGCCCCAGGAAAGCAGCTCAGGACATGGCAACAAGAAAGCAGGATAGAGAGCAAGCTCCACTCACCAGGGACAAAATATAAATCCCAAAGCATGTCCCCAGTGACTGCCTGAACAGAATAGGCAATGAATAGAACACAGCCTTCCAGAAGACTGATGGCCAGTTATGCAGTCTGAAACAGTGGCTGAGCAGGTAATGATAGGCACCAACAGTTGAGTCAAATTGGAATGGACACCTGGCTCTCATCAAGAAAATCTGCTATGGAAAATTGAGACCTGCAGGTGACATCTTTCACTGTGTATTTGGGGGTCTTCCTAAATGAGCATGGTATCTGATTTTAGATTCCTCTGCCATGCTTATCTCCCACCGCATCTGTGGCTCCCTGCTTTGAGGCCCAGCTTGCCAATATACATTCTTTAACCCACAACCTGACACCTGTACCTTTTCTGGTCACAAACCACTTTGAGGCTCTGATGAAACTTAGTAACCTTCTCTCAGACAAAGACATAAAATTTTATATATCATTCAGTGGGCTCATAGCTTCCTGAAGATCATCTAAGTCCCCATCCCTACTACACTTGCAGGCTCTTGCCAAATGTAGAGGATCGTGAAAGGTAGATTCCCTACAAGCTGCAGCAAGGAGCCTGGGGTGAAGAGGGGACAGTTTTTAAAGATTTTTTTTGAGAAGCTGAACTTTAAACTTAGATAATTGTTTTCTTTTTTGATTTAGCAAATGAAACAATGGATGTGAAACAGCCTAAGTTAAAGGTGGTTCCAGTTATAACAAATGGTTGTAGAGTTCCTCCCTGCAGAGCAGGTTGTAGGGGAATGGAAATGATGAGGACATAGAGAGAACCCCTGCATGGGTCAGCCCTGCCTTCCATTTTCTAGTTTTATGCATATGGCCAGGTCCCAGAGTCTCTTGAGTTTCATTGGCTTACCTCTGCATCCGGCATGTGGGGGAAGAGTATTGAGTGCAGCTTAGAATTGCTAGGACCACTGGCAAGAATCTCCTGAACCCTGACTGTTCCATGAAGTAGGTGTGAGACTCTGGGAGAGTTCAGCATTTTCTCATTTTTTAAGAAGGTAACAATAATATTGCCCATCTCCCCATGATGTTGAGAAGATAAAGGGTCTGTCACATAACTGAAGTTCAACATTTGTGATTGTTCTTCTTATTATCCAAGTTCCAGAAGGTCTTGTTGAATTTTTTTTAAAAAGTGCATGTATAGAGCCCATTAAATATAACATCATGGGTAACCACCACATTCACATAAAAAAATCAAATCTTCAGGGCTGGGGTTGTAGCTCACTGTTAAAAGCACTTGCCTTGCATGTGTGAGGCACTGGGTTCAATCCTCAGCACAACATGAACACAAATAAATAAAGATATTATGTCCATCTACAACTAAAAAAAATATTTTAAAAAAATCAAATCTTCAGAATTACCCGTGCATCTCACCCATGTTACACAGACAGAATGGAAAGAAATGAAGACTCCACAAGTTATCACACGAAACTGTCTTTTACTAATAAAACCAAAGAACCTCAAATACTTTTTGTGGACTTTAGCTTTTTTCCTTCAGATTTTGAAATGGTATTGTGCACGTACATATTTTTAAATTTAGGTACATTTGGAGAACACAGTTGTGGACACAAAGAAATACAAAAAATGAATGAGATGTTCTGAAATCTGATTTCAAACACTTGTAATTATTAAACTGATGTCTGTGAATCCTGTCCTGTGAAGTATGTGCCATTTCTCTCTGCTTTTCATGATGGTGAGATCACACAGCAGCCCATGTAACAGACATGAGAAGTACGTTAACATAGAATCAAAGAACTGTACATCTGTTAATATCTAGTGGAAGGTGTCAACCCAGCTGGCTTAGAAAAATCTTTAAATAATATTTCCATTTATCCCATGAATACTTTCTTTCCCTTAGTGCGTTAATTAGAAAGACTAGTAAGTATTTTTTGAACATGCGCATACGTGAACACATCCAGCATCCTGATAATTAAGAGTCACCCTTGCTGCTGCTGGACTAGAGATCCCTGGTCAGAATCAGAGATTCTACTGGCTGACTCCTCCTTGCAAAAAGCTGTACTAGAGAGCCCCAGGGAATTCCTGGAAGCCCCAATTGTTTGCCTTGAGAAACAAGACAGGCAGGGCCTCATTGGTAAGCTGGGTTGTATATTATTCTTCTATGAAGTGGATAGGGAAGATGGGAACCTTGTTGTTTGGAAGAGATTGAATATTATGTGGGGCCTTCTACAAAACAGTTCCCGTTGGCTTGTTCATGATGGCATATCCTGCCTTTAGGTAATGACTTCCTGGAGAGACCCAGTTTAAGCATAATTATGAAGACTTATGCCCATGCAAGTCATCACCCTAACATGAACAAAAATAATAATGACTTAGAAGCAAGAGCGTCTTCAATGAAGACAGTCACTAGGCATCATTTAGAAACTGAAGGTCACATGTTTAGGGCACCAGACTCTCAAATAAGGCTCAGCAATGCCCTAAAAACTGCATAAGCATGAAGGAGACTTATCTTCTAAATTGATATTATTATTTATCCTTTATAAAAGGAGTGGAAACTTGGGCTAATATTTAGACAGTCCCCTGTAGACAAGGACTAGACCATTCCAGAGTCCTATCTTGTCTTTTGTGACAATGTCTTACCTTGCCTAATGAGAATTACTTAGAAAATCCTAGACCTCTTGTACCATGATGAAAAACACCCTTCTAAAAATGGAAATCTACATAATAGAATTACTAATGATATACTAATCCAAATTAATGCCCCCTTTTTAAAAAAATATAGTCATCTGGATAATACCATAATTTTCTTGTCTAGAACCTTATGTTGTTCCCCATATGCATAAATGCAGACTAGTACTTTTAACTACCCAAAAGTGTACAAAAAGGAATATATTCATCCCAAATTTACACTTTTGATCACTTGAACTAAATTTTTGAAATAAGTTTGGTTGCAGGGACATTGGTCCAACTGAGGATCTTCCTGTTTATCACCCATCTGGAATTGTATCCACATAACCAATAAGTTATCATATTGATAAAACTGAACTGGGGTCTGTTGTTTGTTTTTATTTTTGTGATACTGAGGATTGAACCCAAGGCCTTGCACATGCTAGGCAAATGCTCTACTATGAGCAACATCCCTAGCCCAAGGTGGGGTCTATTTTAATAATATACATCTGGGTGCATGTTCTAGAATTGCCAACTCTCAGTTATTACTACTTACAATGTGGTCATTAAGTTTACTCTTGGTATTATGAAATACATTCCTCAGGGCACTAGCTGCTTGAATTGCAAAGAGCTTTTGAACTTTAGGCAAAATTCCTGAAATCTCTGCCTTGCTAGACTGGCAGCTCTAATGCACTTCCTGGGGTTTCTTAGAAACACTAAAGTGAGCACAAAACACAAAGAATAAACAGTAGTCAACTGTATACTCCCCCCCCCCCCAAAAAAAAAAAAAAGTTCCCAACAAATGCCCTCTTGTCTGCTGTTTCTGTTTAGGTTTTGGAGTGGTCTTTCTCTCATAGTCTTCTGAAAATACCCAGGGAAAATGCTGACAGTCAGTGGGATATCACTCTAGATTATCTTTCTTTTTTCTTTTTTTTTGGTACCGGGGATTGAACTCAGGGCCCTCGACCACTGAGTCACATCCCCAGCCCTATTTTGTGTTTGATTTAGAGACAGGGTCTCACTGAGTTGCTTAGGGCCTCACTTTTGCTAAGGCTGGCTTTGAACTCATGATCCTCCTGCCTCAGCCTCCCTAGCCACTGAGATTACAGGCATGTACCACCATACCTGGTTATATTATCTTTCTGATACATAAGAAAGACATCACCTGACTGCTCCCCTATCTGTCAACAGAGATGACACTCCACTTTTTATGTTATATACAGAAAGGTATGGCTGCCCCCATACACTCATGCACGCTCATCTCTGAGCTCATGTGGAGAGAAGGGCTTTCCATTTAGAACAATTTACACCTACAGACAACAAACACCAAGAAACATGCAAACACCACAGGGAACCTGAAGGTGAAGACTTCATATTTTACACAATGAGGGGACACTGTTACAAAATGTTGATGGGATGGTTTCTGTTACTCATGCTCTAACTTGAGGGTCTTTGCAACAGAAGGGTGCCTGTGAAGGTATTTGCTTTTTTTTTTTTTTTTCATCTTCTTCTTCTCTTTCAGGAGTTACAGGTAGTTCTATATCAGGCACTATGCAATCTGGTGGCTTTTGGTCCAACATGTATTTTAGTTGTCTTTGCACCTTTTTAATTTCTTTCTGAACAGCCAAGTTCAAATGCTGGAAATCGTGATGTCTCTGGTACCAGGATGTCAGAGAGAAAGTGAATAGCGCCAGCCATGCCTGTAAAGCAAAATGTGGATCTTTTTACAAATAGTCATGAAGGTTATAAATGCAACAAAGTAACCTTCAATTTTTTCCTCTACTGGGGGCTCTAAGGATATGAGAAAAAGTACTGGGGACTTCAAAGATGATTTCATTAAAAAAAARAGAAGAAAATTAAATCCTTATATTAATACCCAGCAAGTATTCTTCACTCTTAAGTTTTTTTTACAACTGGCTCATGAGCTTTCATCTTATGTCTATAATACTACAGAATCACTACCAAAGAGATACAGATGCTAAGCTGGAGGTGTAGCTCAGTGGCAGAGTGCGTGCCCAGCATGCATGACGCCCTGGGTTCCATCCCCAGCACCATACACACACACACACACACACACACACACACACACACACACATAAAAGTTACAGATGTTGTCAATTATATTTCAATACATAAAATTTTTCCCTTTCAGAGCTTTTATATTTTAAGTCAAAAAAAACAGTTGTACTTTACATCTTCTTTAGGTTTTAAGACAGTAATTTTCAAACAAGCATTATTTGCTTTGGTCAAAATCCCCATTCCAAATCAATATAGTAATTAAACCTCAGGTTTCACACTTCCCTGACAGGAGCTTCTGAAAGTCTCAAGGCCTCTGTCTCCCACTCCAATCAGAACGATACCTTTCCTACAGGATTTGTTTGCTTAAGTTTTCTTTTGCCATAAAAATCACATAAAACCAAACACAAATCTTAGCATATTTCCTCAAGAGTTTTGACAAATGCACACACTTGTGTAAAACAAACCCTGTCAAGATCTGGAATATTATAACTCCCAAGCAGTCCCCGGTGTCCATCTGTAGTCCATCCCAGCTACATCCCACAGAAGCAATCACCACAGATGAATTTTGCCCATTTTGGAACTTCACATAAATCACAATACAGCCTTCTGTGTCTGGGTTCTCCATTTTGTTCATGTGTATGTCAGTAGTTGGTTTCTTCCTATTGCTGAGTAGTACATTATAGATTGTTTCCCTGTTTTCCTACTGGAGGACATTTCAGTTGTTTACAGCCTCCCTTACAAGTTTTGCTTGAAGAAAAGGTTCCAGAAGTTTATTTTAAAAATTCAAAAACTAGTAACCTATATAGGAACCTATTAGAAGTAAACAGGAATACTTGACACCTTTGGGAGGACCCTAGAGAAGGCGATGCTGCAATGACCCATTTTCTGGTTTTAAAGGGTAGGGTGCCACACTCACTGGATGAAGCACATTAGCAGGAGTATGCTCCCTCACGAGGGGTCGTAGGTGTCAGCAACCCCAGCATCCTAGTAGCTCCTCTGCCTGACATGCCACATAGACATTCAATATAACTATTTCTTGGTCCATCTGACAAGAGTTTCGTTAACACCTACCACTATTTGTGTCTGGCAGGCATTGGAAAGACCCAAGGCAGGGAGTTAACTTCCCAGACATCAGGGGATTTTACATTGAACAATTTTGACTCACTAGGGCTTTGAAGTTGCTATTATAAACTTGAATTTCTAAACCTGAATGACCTCCATTTAGAGTTCAGGTTCTAACTATATTATATCTGATGAAAATATACCACATTTTTATGACATAAGGAAAAGTCTCATTGAGAAATATTCTTTCTATATGATGTGCCYTGCACGTGCTAGGCAAGTGCTCTACCACTGAGCCACAAACCCAGCCCTCTATGTTGTTTTTGAATATTAAAAAGATCATATTCCCCAAAAGATTGACAAATATTCTATTTTTGTTCATATTTCTATTATGTGATTAAAAGTATCACCAAGGTCAGAATAAAATAACATATATCACTAGAGGTGATTTAGACATCAAATAAAACAATAAAGGAATACTACCAATAGCTTCAACACATAAAAACTTGACATCATAGATAAAATGGGCCAATTTCTCAAAAGCAGGAAACTCCTACAACGTACCCAATATGAAACAGAAAAAGGAAACAGCCCTATAACTATTAAAGAAATTGAAATTATTTTAAAATCTTGGAAAAAGAAATTTCCAGACCCAGAAATGTTGACTAGAGAAGTCTACCAAACATTAARATTTGATTTATACTAATTTTTCCACCAATAAATACAAAGCCTGTCCCAGAAAACAGAAGAGAGGAGAGTTCTCAGGACAGTTCATTAGATCAGGATTACCCTGCTACCAAAATAAGATAAAGACAGTGCAAAATAGGAAAACTAGAAATTAATACCCTTCATGAATACAGATGTAAAACTCTTATTATATAAGGCTAGCTTCTGGAACCCTTTCTTCTAAAAAAATCTTGTCGGGAAGCCAGGGAAAAGCCCAAATGTCCTTCAGTAGAAATCATTTTATTAGTTCTGAAGTTTACTTTGGGATAAGTATAAGATGTGGCTCTAAAGTAATTAAAGGTTACTTTATTATGAATTTATCTCAACTGACCTTTTAGTCTTTGTCCTTTGATTTTTGTGGCTTATAAGTTAATACACACATAAATATAAAAAAAGAAGTTAAGTCCCTCTGTAAGACTGTTATATTTTTTCCTTAAGTTACATTCTGTTGTGCCCAGTGCAGAGCAGACTGATAATTTTTGTTGCTTTTACTGATGGCCTGTTATTGCTCATTTCCAGAACGTTCTTCAATATTTGTTTATTTTTTTCCCAATCACTAGTATTCCTAATTACTAATACTTCCAATTAATTATTAATACTTCCTTATATAATTTATATATATAATTTATATATACATATAATCTAAATATATAATATATAATATAAATATTTAAGTTTATATTATATAAATTTATTTATTTTTAACTATTCAAGCTTCCTGTGAGCACATTAATATTACAATATTACAAATGAAATGCAAGAGGTGTCACCCAGATGCTTATCTCTCCTACTGCGCAGTAGCAAGCCTTCCATACTGTATCCATATCACTAGATAATCACTTCCATACTTTGTCTGCATATACTTCACAGATCTACAAACACTTGGATGATATTCACAACAAAAAGAAGGCAACATAAAGACATACTCAATATCATTTTCAGGCATCAATTAATCTGTTTACTGCTATTTTAGTTTTGGAATTTTTACTCATGTAAGATCAAATATACTACTGCTAATCCCCAGAGACATGGAGATCAATTTCACTCACCCAGATGCTTAAATCTATAGTTTTGGTTTTTTTTTTTTGCTTTTTCACTCTCCTACCTTCAAACAGGGAATAGGGTCTATCAGGAATGCGGCATCCATGCGCTCCATAATCTAGACACCACTCTGCAAACTAAAAAGAAAGCATTTCTTTTTAAGAACAGAATTTTCATTTGGTGAAAGGCAATAAATGAGATACTACAATGAATTCACCAGAACCGACAGTGTTTTGGAGCAAAGGCTCAGGACTAGACAACAGTGCTACTTCCTCTCTGAGGACTGAGTCCTGGCAAGTTATGTTATGCACCTCTCTTCATCTGTTTTTTTCATCTGCAAGGTGGTATCTACCTCATCCATTGTCTGTCCTTTCTAGGCATCTGCTGCTGCCCACCCAGTTGTCATTTCCAAAGTAACTCCAAACACTTGCTCTGAATTAAAAAACCTGGCTTGGAAGCTGCCTGCAGAATCAGCTGCTGGCTCCCCCTGGTGATCTGTGGCAGCAGCTTCAGCCCTGGCCAGGGCCATTCTCAGTCACACTCTTGTTAAACATAATCTACACTCTCACTTTTCTTATCTCCGCTTCCTCTTCCTCCACTTTCTTATGCACCTTTGTTTGACAGTTCCACCTTGAAAATGCCTCATCCCTTAGCTTTGTCAGTGCTTTCCTTTTGAGAAATATTGAGTTCTCAAACCTCTTCAATGGGATTTTTCTATATTATAATAAACTTCCATTTTATTTTCTTAAGGTAACAATTAATATCAAATTTAGCATGTTTAATAACACTCTTTCTGTTTTGTATTTACCAAATATGCTTCCTYTTTTCCCTTGTTTGATCAGCATCTACCTGGTTTTCTTAGACAATAGGAAAACACTCAGGTATTTCCATCCTCTCCACCCTAAAGAAAAAAAAAGATGGCACTAAATTCTGTTCTACATCCTAAACTCTCCATTCTATCATAGACAATGCCTTGTTGTATAACTCAGTATTTTTCTTGCATTAATGTGTGGAAACACAACCTCTGCCTCATCCTTCCGAATGGAACTAAAGCCATCTTTCTAAAAGAGGAGTCTCAAAATGGACCCCCATCTTTCAAATCAGTACTCAATGCCAGCTGATTATTAAAATCACCTGCAGAGGCTTTAAACTACTAGTGACACACTCTCTCACTTAGAGTGGGCCCTGTGATGTCAGGTGTTACTGAGGTTGAAAACTGCTAACAGACTTATTTTCTTTTGCCTCTGCCCGCCTGACTTTATCTCTTACTAACCACTCTTCCTATGACATCCCACAACACTGAAGTGCTCAGAGTTTCCAGAATACACAGAGCTATTTTGTGCCTTGGCAGTTTTATACAAGTTATTCTCCCTATCAGGAATGTATTCCACCCCTTAGCCACCTGGCTCCTGGTCCACCTGAGACTTCATCATTGAAGAACCGGCTGTATCTTAATCCTACTAAAGTCTTCAAAGTCCCCATATTTACTTAAATATCTACAATTATAATTATCAAGGCTGATGCAGCCTGCAGGACCTAGCTGCTTTATACCTCTGTCTCTTCTGTTCTGGCCTCCCCACTCCAAGCTCCAGCTACCACAAACTTCACACAGTTCCCCTGTGTGCTTCACAACTCCAGAGCAGTTTCTTCTCTTTTTAATACCTTACCTCATACCTCTTTGCTGAACTTCTAGCTGTTCTGTAGGTACTAGTCTGGATGATTTTTTCTGAACTCCTACACCCAGTTTGGGCCCTAACCTCTTAATGTGCTTCTATAGTATCCACAATCCTCTGTGTGTATTTACTCAGAGGCACCAACAAGAGRTATATTCTATTTCAGTTAAGAAAATGACTATAATTGTAACAGATGTTCATTGATCAAAAGGTATAAAGAATATATCAACCAAAAGGACTCCATCTATCAAGGCTCATGATAAACATTTTCTTCTGACCTYTATTCTATGAGCATATTACTACAGAGTATGAAATGTGTATAATAATGAATATACTAGCAAATATTTATTTGAAAAGGAAGCTTGAAGAAATGTGCTCAAATTCATAAAATCACACAGCTTTATAACAAATAAACACAGTATAGATGGTAATTCTAACCAAGTAGCGTGACTCCAAAACTCCTGTTCTTCAGAGGTCATTTACATGTGTTATTCCTGTCTTATAGACAAGTACACCACAGTATAGGGAGGCCAGGGACAAAACTTTGCCAGAAGAAACCAGGGGTTTTCCCTTGTGATCAAAAAAGGAAGCAGATTTGGAAGGTAGAAAGCAAATTAAGTTTTAGTAAACATGTGTAAGGTGGGAAAAACAGGTTAAAAGAAGAAAAAGAACTGTTTAGGGACTTTGTACAAGTTCTGGGGTGTTCAGATGTCCTCACCTTGCAAGCTCGGTAGAGATACTTTTTATCCTTTGTGACATGGTAAAGAGACAGAAAAGAATAGCCATTCCCAGAGGTCCCATGGCAAATCCCGTATCCCTTTCGGAGCAAACCTCGCTGCCAAATCACATCACTACACTCCATGGCCTCTTTCAGGTATTTCTCCTCCTTAAAAACCTGGGCAGTGAAAAACCAAAACAGTGTTAATAAGATGGTCTCAATGAAGAGTTAGTAAAATCCTTTTCCTTCCTGGTTAGAAAATTATACAATGTTAGGAAAACAGAAATGGCACTAGGGTAAAAACAAATAAACAAAAAACCAATAGCACTAACAGTGCATCATTTCTTACAGTCCCAATCAGCCTATTCTTCTTGGCCTCCTCTTTTGTAGTTCAGCATAAGTAATCCTAAAATTAAGCTTAAAAATTAGTTATTAAAGTTACCAAAAAAATTAGTTATTAAAGTATGGACAGCTGCAGAGACAAACAGGCACAGTGAAGGCAAATGACTGACAGAAGAAGCTGTTTGTTTTTACTCCCCAGACTCCCTTATAAATTTTCTTCTCTCTTTTCTTATTTTTCATTTATTGCTTCCCTGGTCCTTTTCTCAGAGTCTGTTAATAATTTCAACAGCTTATGAACTCATGCCATTTAAGTACAAATGAGTTTGGACAATGAAAGACATGAAGGCCATTAGACATGATCTACTTATGGTGGCATACAGGATCCATCTACTAATGACTAATGAGTACTGGCACTAGGCTGAGAAGAGCTCTGAGGCTGTAGGCAGGGAAAGGCACTTCTAATCATGAAGGGAATTAAATGTTTCCAAAATTAGGCTGCCAGAATCAAAAGCAAGACTCCATTTCTTCACCATGATGGCAAATGAAARGCAGGTTCTGGGGTCAGACTGTCTGACTCTGAATCCTACTTCTGTCATCTTTCAATTTGGACAAGTCACTTAGTCATTATGTCTTAGTTTTCTGTAAAAAGATAACCTTTCCTTATTTTTATTTGTTCTTTYTAGTTACACATGACAGTAGAATCTATTTTGATATACAAACATGGAATATATCTTATTCTAATTAGGATCCCAGTCTTGTGGTTGTACATGATGTGGAGATTCATTGTGGTGTATTCATATATGTACATAGGAAAGTTATGTCAGATTTATTCCATTGTCTTTCCTATTCCTATCCATCTTCCCTTCATTCCCCTTTGTCTAATCCAATGAACTTCTATTGTCTGCCTTTCTTAATGTGGGTTAGTATCCACATAACAGGAGAACATTTGACCTTTGGTTTAGGGAGACTGGCTTTTTCCACTTAGCATGATAGTCTCCAGATTCATCCATTTACCAGCAAATATCACAAAGTCATTCTTTTTTATGGCTGAGTAATATTCCATTGTGTATGTAAGCCACAATTTCTTTATCCATTCATCTGTAGATAGGTACCTAGGTTGGTTCCATAGCTTAGCTATTGTGAATTATGCTGCTATAAACATTGATGTGGCTGTGTCAATATAGTATGCTGATTTTAACTCCTTTAGACATATAACAAGGAGTGAAATAACTGGATCAAATGGTGGTTCCGTTCTTAGTTTTTCTGAGGAATCTCCACAGTACTTTCCAGAGTGGTTGCCCTAATTTTCAGTTCCACCAACATTTTTTCACTTCAAAGGCTTGTTGTGAGAATTAAAAAGAGATACTGTACAAGAAGCTCTTAGAACAGCACCTGGCACATAGCATGTACTAACTACTTCCTATCTTTAATTAACCATTATTTTTTCTGTTATCCTGCCAGCATGACTACTTTACATTATTAGCTGCATCTTAAATCCCTTGAGAATTAACTGTAAAATGAAACACCTTAACCTATTTTAAAGAAATACTAGGTCAAAGCTAACACCTGAAAAGACACTAAGAGGCTATGTCTTGAAATCATGTGTGTGAAGAAACCCTAAACCTCTTTCTAGTGGTTGCTAGGGGCATGTGAAGATTGAAGGAGAAATCAGTTAGGTGTTCTTCACTGTCCTGCTGTATTGGTAGGACTGAGGATGCTATGGAAGGCCCATAATGCTACCTACACTTTTAGTTTCCCTGCCCCCATCATATACTCTGATGATTCTCTATGTGAAAAGCAACTTTTAATAATGAGACATTTGAAAAATTAAGTATTATAGAAAATAAGCTCCCAGATTTAATCACAGATTCAYGATCTTTACATTGTAGCAATCATAATTAGATGGGAAAATCCACTGACTTAGCCATATTCTTTTTCCTGATGGTAGATTTCTGAGATGTGTCAGGATAAATGAGACAGCAATGCATAAGAAATCATAAGGGATCTGGAGTCAGGAGACTTAAGAGTCATTCTTCTATATCTACTAATGTTGTGATCTTGAGCAAGTCATGTGACTTCTCTGGTCCTGTTTGCTTACATTACAAAATTGATTAACTCTGAGATGACTCTAATGTTGCAAACAGAGATAAGAGTTTTAGATAATGATTAAAAATATCTTAAAGGATGCAAAGGAAATGAAGGTGAAATAAAGACAAGTCTAAGATAAATGAAAATCAATTTGTTGTCACCAAACCTGGACTACAAGAAATGCTAAAGCAAGGTCTATAGGCGAAAGGAAACACAAATCTGAACCTGTAGAAAAGTATGCAATACACTAAAAATATATGTGAATAAATACCAAAACTACCTTAATTTCTTTTAAATACTTAGGAAATATTTAAATAAAAAGTATAATTTGTTCTCTAACTTAAAATTTATAATTTTAAATTATACTGGGGTTTATAACATTTGTAGGTGTAGAATATATGGCACAGTGTAAAAAAAGGGAGTAAATAGAACTATAAGCTTACCAGTTATTACATCCTAACTACTGTTTGCATGATATATATTTTTGTTTTCAACCTATGGATTT